CTCTCACTCTCACTCTCACTCTCACTCTCACTCTCACTCTCACTCTCCCTGCGTTGCTGACATTTACTCGAAGTTTTCTCTTTCAGCCGAGCTCTTACCACACCGCTTGACATCGTAGAGTGTGTGGTTGGACTGGTAGAGATAGCGGTTCAGGAAGAAGGCCATGGGCATCTCAGCAAACACAAAACTGAGCTAAAGTAGGAGGAGCAGAGAGACAATGTGATCAGAACGCAGGCAAATTCTGAGGGACGGTCACTGGACCCAGAATGTTAACTCTAATTTCTCTTCACAGATGCTGCTGGACCTGCTGAGCTTTTCCAGCAACTTCTGGTTTTGTTTTTGATCAGAATGCAGGCCCATTGTAGCAGCACAGAAGGAGGCCATTTGACCCTCCAGCTTATGCTGGCCCTTTCCAACAGCAATGCAGCGAGTCCCTTTAACCCGCGACTCTGCACAGTCTTCTGGATCAGATAAGGCATCAACTCCCTTTTCAAAATCCCCCAACAATTCTCCCTCTCAGTCAGAGCACCCCAAAACCCTGACCACCCCCTCTGTAGGTATGGCTGATCTGTTTCTCAACACCATTCTGCTGCCTTCTCCCCACAACAGGAGGGGAGAGAGACACATCCCGAGAAAACTGAAAGTTGTCATACAATGTCGAGGAGCAGGAACCCTGGTTAATTTCCTCTTTCTAATCCAGGATTCATTGGGCAATAAATCAGGAACAGGAAATCCAGGTTCATCTCCCCTCCCTTAACTCCAGGACAAATGGGATAGTGAGCAGGAGCAGCAGCCCTGGATGATATCTCCCTCCCTCTCTCTCTCTCTCACCCTGGCATTACTGGGCACCGATCAGGAGAAAGAGCCCTTGCTGATTTTGCTTTGCGCTCTGACCCAGGAATACCAGGACCATGATCAGTTGTAATACACTTGGCTGATCATCTCCCTCTCTAACACCTGGATCACAGTTCAGTGATCAGGCAAGGCCCAAGGCTGATCTCCATTCTCTCTCTCTTGCAGACACAGGGATAATGGAATAGGGAGCAACAGCAGGAACCCTGGCTGAATTCCACCCCCCTTCCCACTCTAATTCAGGGCTCGCTCGATAGTGATTAGGAGCCGTGGTTCAGTTTCTCTCGCTCTCTCTCACAATACAGTGACCATGAGCAGGAACCCTGGCTGGTTTCACCTCTCTCCGTCAAGGCATCAGGTACCGGAACCCTGACCGATTTCCTTTCGATCTCTAATTGAGGGATTACTGACACATGATCAAGAGCGCAGAAACTTACCGATTTCCCCTCTTCCCCCAATCTAATTCAGGAGATCACTGGACAGCGAGCAGGAGCAGGAATCCTGGCTGATTTCCTGTCTCTCACTAACCAGGAATCATGGGGGAAAGACCCCTCGCTGATTTCCTCACTCTAATGCAGTGATCTCAGGATAATGATCAGGAGCAGGACCCCTCGCTGAAAAACCCTCTCAAAACAGGGGATCACACAATACTCATCAGGAGCTCGAGAACCTTGGCTGATTTGAAATCTCTTTCTCTAAGCCAGGGATCACTGGACAGTGATGAGGCCATGTCCCAGGCCGATTTTCTCCCTCTCCTCAGTTTCACAACTGAGTGAACATGACAGGACAGTGAGTACAAGCAGGAGCCCGAGCTGACTTCAACTCACTTCAACCCAGGGATCACCAGACATTGATCAGGAGCCCTGGCTGATTTACCCACTTTGGAGCAGAAAAAAAAAAAGACTTACATTAAACAGAAAGTAGAAGATTGACTGGAAGATAATGACATATTGGTGAGATGCTCCTTTGGGCAGTTTCTTCTGTTCCAGAACATGGTCCTCTTTATAATTAACATATTCATAATATTTTTGCGCCATTCTGTCAGGAAAACAATTTCAGTAATTACTGAATGGAGCTTTCAGAAGACTCTGCACATTAGACTCTCTTTGGCAATCACTCCCAGAATAAAGGGCAGCATAGATACAGAATAAAGCCCACTCTACATTGTTCCCCCAAACACTCCCAGGATAGTGATACAGAATGAGGCTCCCTCTACTCATTTAGACTGAAAACGATGTTTCCTTAACACTGACTCCATCAAACATTCCTAGTACAGGGTTAGACCCAAACAGAGGGAAGCTTGCCATTTCATCCATCGAGTCTGCCTGCTATTCATTGAGATCATGCCAGGTCTGACCATCCTCAACTCCAGTGTTCTACCTTCCACACCCCAACATCCCCCCCCCCCAGTCCCCCACCCCCATAGCCCTTCTCTCTTTCCTGATTAAAATCTGCCTCAATGTTGAATATAGTTAAAATAACCCATCCTCAACAGCTCCATGTGGCCCAGAATTGCGCAGATTCCTCCACTCAGGAGAAATTCCTCCTCATCTGTCTTAAATACATGTTCCCTTGTTCTGAGATCATGCCTTTTGTCTTGGACACCCTCTCAAGGGGAAGTCAATCTATCTCACGTCATCAACCCTGTGAGGTCCCTAAGAGCCACACGTTTCAATAAAGGTTGCTTCTTATTTTTCTAAATTCCAATGAGCACAAGCCCAATCTACTCAACCTCTCCTTATAGTGGGTCCGTCCATACCCTGAACCAGCCAGGCGAACATTCCCTGGACTGCCTCCGATGTCGACCTGCCTTTCCTTAGATGAGGCACCCAAATTGTTAACAGTATTCGAGCTGTGGTCTGACGAGTGCCTTGTACAGTTTTAACAGAGCCTTCTTCCTTTTATATGCCACTCCCTTTGACATAAACGCCAACATTCAATTTGCCTTCCCAATTACCTGAACTTGGATGCTAGCTTTTTTTGTGATTCACAAGCAAAGCCTCCAAAATCCCTCTTTTCCGCAGCTTTCTGCCATCAAATTCAGCTGATCTATTCCTCCTGACAAAGTGTGTGACCTCACCTTTCTCTAGTTACATTCCATCTGCCAGGTTTTTGCCTGCTTGCTTTATCTGTCTCTACTGTATCCATTAGAGAATCCCAGGACATTCAGAAGAAAAGTTCAGAAACAGCATGGCTCCCTCAGTATTCCCTTTTAGTTTGGGCACACAGCCTTGGGGTGGGGAGAGCAGGAACGAGTCGCCACAGAGACAGACCTGGTGATGTAGTTCCCCACTGCGGCCCAGAGTGGGACGATGGCTGCTCCAATGGCAACTGCCGATGGGACCAAGGTGTAATATCGCTCCCAGTAATTGGTCGACACAAAGAGGGCATAAATTCCGATGGCGAGGAACATCATCCACTTGGTCCCAAGGAATCTGCAAAAGGTTGGGGAAAGCGATCAGTCGGAGCGGTCACCAAGAATTCTCTCTCCACCAAGAGGTCCGTTATCATTCCCTCTCACAGGCTGCCACTTCCTCTCCCCAAGGACTGAACTGTCCACTCAGGTCAGTGACGCAACAGAGCAGGAATGCAACACTATCGCCTCCCCTCCCCCCCCCACCCACCCTCCCCCCACCCACCCACGCCAATCCCATGAGCCATACAGGAAGATTCCCCCCACCCCATGATCACAGGTCATGGTGCATCCCCGTGGGAACCCTCCCAACCCTCCCCAAACTCCAGGGTTACCTGATCAAGACAGGCGTGTAGAGGAGGGCAACAATGGGAGTGACGTTAATGCCCATCAACATCTTATTGTCAATGTCCTCAAGCCCCAGGTTTCCATACTTGACCTCCCGGTAGGTCTCGTCATAATGGAGGATGAGCTGCATCTGCAGTAGACCTGGAGGTGAGGGTGGGGGAGGGGAAAGCAGAAGGAAAGACAGAAAAATAAAGCAAGTACATGTCAGAGAGGGAGTAGAAGTCCAAGGGGAGAGGGGAGAGGACGGCCCTTCTGAGGGAAGAGGTCATAGAGGAGAGGAGAGGACCTCTTCCAAGGTCCCTCAGCCCTGCTTCCCCACTAGAATTTGCATCTCCTGCTACTCTAACGTTCATCGCTTTTGAACTCAAATGAGCCAACCAGAGAGTGGCCAAACAATTGGGCAGTGGCAATAGGGGGCTTAAACATGCTCTCTGAAATGTACGTGCACATTCCATCTCAACATCTTCCACCCCTCCAACTCTGGTCTAAAGGAGGTTAGGGGTGAGGGGGGTGTGTTAGTAACAATCAATGTTACAAACTTCGCCTGGTCCGAGGACTGACGGGCACACAGACCCCTGCCTCTCCCTCAGGCTGAGACTCACCCAAATAGACTCCATAGGTGAGGGAGCTACCAAGACTGGCAAACACCACGTTCTTCACCATTGCCAGGCGTTTCCGGCAGAAATATTTCCGCTCCTCCTCCTCCTCGTTGTAATCCTGGTTTGGGGCCATGAAGTCATCAATCTGTCCGCAAAAACAAAAATCAGTGTCAGGGGCCTGGCAGATGTGGTGGTGGTGGAGTGTGATGTGGAGCAGGCGAGAACATGGGTAGGAATTTTGCAACCAGAGAGGGAGAGAGAGAAAGAAAGTCAAGGAGAGGCAGAGACAATAGGATGGACTGTAACAAACAGACACTCTGGGGAAAGAGTCTCTGGTAGAGTTTTCACCAAGCTTAATATTGGGTATAGAGGAATAAACTTACCAGGAGGTAACTTCACTGACAAGTACAAGATTCTGAGAGGACTTAACAGGGTAGGTTGCTCCCCCTTATGGGAGAGTCCAGGACCGGAGGGCACAATCTCAGAAGTAGGGGTGGCACATTTAAGACTTGAGGTATGGAGGAGTTTCTTGTTTCAGAAGGGAGCAAACCTGCAGAATTCTCTACCAGAGCGGGCTGTCGGGGCTGGGTCTTTAAGTCTACATGCAAGGGAAAAGGAAAATAGATTTTTAAAAAAACCAGCGAGCGAAGCACGGGTCATGAGGAAATAAAAGGGCAGGTGAGTCAAGTTGAGAGTTATCAGACCAGCCACGAACTCACCAAAGGGCAAAGCTGACTTGTTGGGGTTGAATGACCTACTCCCCACTCGTCTACCTTCCAGTTGGAAGGAAAAAAATGAGACAGATAAAAGAAGCGACTGAAATCTCCACCAACACACACACCCTTACTGAGCCACCCCACCCCACTCGGCTGGAAGGCAACTTTTCAGAGGGTGAATGGACCCAGCCTACCCCTTACTCCAGCAAGGTAGGGGAGGTGTGTTCGGAGAGTGCCGGGGTGGGGGGGGCTCAGTGAGGGTGTGTGTGTTGGTGGAGATTTC